GTATGCATATTTGTAAATTAAATTACAATACGTGTTGTTGTTTTTCTTCAAGTTATAAATATATTGAATTTCAAAAACAACATGTACGTATTTATTGTACATTCATATAATTGTGAATAAATGATCTAGAATGTTTTAATCTGAATAGATACTGTACATGTACAACGTACATACAAAGACTGTGCATAACGGTGCTGAATAAAAGCATTTTTAAAAAACAATTGACAAAACGGCAAATTTTCTTGTAACCCGTTTTGTGAAATGAATTATTCTAAGCAATTTTTACCTGTAAATCCATTTGAAAGTCTATTTCAAGCCTTTATATTAGAACTGTCATGTGATGAATTTGTAAACAACGCATCCAGGATGTAAACAAACGCAGCCGACAATATAACTTCCGGGTTTACGTTGCCGCGATATTGAAGATTTAAGTTCACGAACTTTGACGTCGTTTTCTGTGAATTGTGACGTCGAAAGATAAGGGCCCTTTTCTCATGACGCCAGTCAAATATTTAAGAATGTGAGAATAAAAGAAATGCTCTCTAGTCTGTATTTGAAACCGTTTTTTTTTTCAAAGCATAAAATGAAAAAAGTGTATGCATTCAATCAGTTTTTTTAATTCAATTAAGAAAATAAATTGATTAAGTTAATTTTGATTGGACAATTTGGCAGGCATCACGATGCATTATATTGCAGCAGAGTGCAGTATGGTGCAATTCTACTTGTATTTAAACAAGTGCAATTATTTTACTTTCCAATGTATTAGAAATATTCCCCACCATCCACCCTCCAAAGACAGCTTTTATATACAATTTGTTCTTGTGATTGAATGTTTATTTGGAAATTTGCATAATGTAAGTTTTGTTTCAAAGTTCGATAACTCATATTATGTCCCTTTGAACAACGTAGATAAAATGATCATTGATTTCTGCTTTATATTATGTAAATGTTTAAGCAATATTAACGAGTAACAGGCTTGTATTTTATATATAAGACGTTAGGGAGACATTCACAAATGACCATGTGTTAAAGTCTGAGTAAATAACGGTTAGCCTTATTATTATTACTTTTTTCAAAATCGTCCAATGCACTGGTAGAAAAAAATGTATATGACAAACCTTTGTATACCTTATATGTTATTAATGCACAAAGAGGATCTAACCACCAACAATTGACCAATCATTGCCTGAATAGCAACGTTAACTTTACACCTATATGGTTACATTTCACTTCGAACACGTGTTTCAACTCAATCTACAATGAAGCGCATTGAAGTGGTAAAATTTTTCGTTTGAGTGGAAAGTTTGGGCGTTTCTTATCGGACGTCAATTGCTACAGCAGGATTCTCCATCATTTTAAATTTAACTGTGGCGCAAAAGTTACGCAATGTGCTTATATTTGCGGTCATTTTTCGACCGAATTCGGGAAGAATCCCGAGATAAATTGAAAACACACAGCCCCTATGAATTAATAGTTTAATATACAAATGGCCTTAATTATTTGGCAAATTGATAAATAAATTTAATACTAAAAACAATTAATCGATATCGATTAAGCATAGTGTAAAACAAAAATTAGGATGTTTCCAAAATATATGCATACTGTAAAAAAGACCCCCTAACACATTTGTACTGATAAATAAACAAATATTACCATACATAATATGAAAATAATAGTACCAGTAATAACACGTTTTAAGCATTTAACCATATTTTTAAAAAAAATAATTTTGTTTACAAAATGTAAATTACATGTATACACTTAACAGTGTTTATTAAAGGACAGAAAAAATTCTTGTACATGTAGGTCATACAATCACGCTAACATCTATATATTAACAATTATTGGTCTGAAGACTGTATAGTAACACTTAAGCAGATTAGAAAAATTTATCATATTTTAGTGAATCTACTTGTCTTGTTAATTTTTCAACATTACAAAAATACCGATTACGATACACGTACGATGTTTGATTCGCAGTGCCAATGCAATTTAAGAATGTGGTTATCTGTAGAACTATTAAAACATGAATTATAAATTGATATTAAAAAAATCATTTGTAATTATCATGAAGTGTGAAAAAATGGCTGGTCTCTTTTCATTCTTGTGTCCATCGAGATCTAGAAGATAATTGATTGCGCAAGCCAAACAATGGACTATAATTAGAGTAAATTAACGGTTAAGCATTAAAAACTGAAAATCGGTACATAATTTGGATGTTCATTTGATATATAATTTGTTATATTTATCTTACTGAATACAATGATCTTTCTCTGGTGCTAAAATTTTGATTGTGGCGGAACTATGGCGCTGATTTTTTAACTGTGGCGCTAGGGAATTTAACGGTGGCGGAGTCGCCACGTTAGACGGCCCATGGAGAACCCTGCTACAGAATAACACGCCTATTTCTTTAGAAATGAGTAAGAAATATTCGTCTTAATGCTTTAGGTAACCCCACTCTCTGCGACTAGTAACATGAATTACACTGAAAAGATTTTATAACGTAAGAAGAGTTACTTAGAGACCCCAATTTTGTTTTTCACTTCGAACACGTGGTTCAACTCTTTTTTTCATATTACAATACCCGTGATCATCTGTTTTGGTCAGGGAACTCACCTGACAATAGAATAAAAATGGACAGCATAGAAAAGCATGCAGATGTCCTATGTGCCTTTTCGATCGCCTTGGTTTTTTTTTCAAACGTAAAATTCCTGTAGTATCCGTAGTAACCCACAAAGCAATTCAACTCATTCAGATTAAGCTATATTGGTACCCCATTTGCTACATGTACTCTGACGCCAAAAAATATAGTCCCATTTCACATGCAAGCATGTTTGTCCAAAAAGAAATTTTAATACATGAGTGCAGAAAATAATGCAATGAAGAATACTTATTGACGTTTGAATGAATTCAAGAGAGATTGAAATACATTTTTACATATGTTATTCAGTGGTGAAAAAAGAAACGCAAGATAGCTTTTCTGTTTACCATGTCTCCACGTGCTAGTCACTTCCTAGCCACATTTCCGTGAATAATTTACCTTATCTCGTTGTAGTCTCGCTAGATCTCGCCAGAGCTACTGTGAGAGTAGCATGGTTCCCTGTCCCTGTTTTGCTTCGTGTACTCCGCGTCACTAGGCAAGGATGAGCCAGGGAACCAGGCTTCTGTGAGAGCTACTGGGAACTCCTCGGATTTTATAATTTGCAGAACACCGAAAAATAAAATGTTCCAAACACATTAGTAGGGGTGTTAGTGTGTGTATGCAATTTCATAGGCAGATAATTTCAATTCTTGTGAGATTTTTGCAAATTGTGGAGATTATACATAAAGTATACTTTTAATGTTTGATGAAATATCAAAGAAAATTTTGTTATAATTGAGATTTAGTTGTTAACCTTCACGTTTCGCTTGCCATGTTCAACCATCTTCTTTGAAAACTTGAAAAGGAAACAATTTTAATAACATTTCATATTTATGTGTTTTCTGTAATAAACTTATTGGACACTATACAAATTCTGACTTAAGTCTAAGACTGCTTCGTAATCCTGGGACCTGCAAGCTACGTTACTTTAACATATACCAGGGATGGGGTCAATTACTTTAAAAAGTAATTAATTAAATTACAATTACTTTGACTTTTTCTTCAATTAAATTACAATTAAATTACAGGCTTTCTAAGACATGTACACAAATTGCATGGCTTATGATGTTTGATTTAAAGTGAGTATTTTAATAGAGTGAAATGAGTCGCAACTGTACAGCTGTAACCCCTCAAATTAAATATTTCCTTTGAAAGTAACCTGAACATCCTAAATTGCTATTTATGTTGAACAACTTTACTTCATAAATCAGAATTGTACAGATAGAAAATTCATTCATAAAAATCTGTCTAGATAATTATCAAATTGAGAGTTTTTCTTTTCTAAAGCTAGCAGAGCATTTTAAATTGAAATAATTATCTCCATTGGCTTTGTCTTCTAAATCATGGAATATCTCTTTAGAGGAGTTGATTTGTTTTGATTGCAATTTAAAGCTGTGATCTGGAGGGCAATTATCTCTTCCCAACAAGAGAGAACTTAATTAATGACACATACCTTCTTTTTCTTTATTATTGATCAAACAACAAAGATTGAAATATAATAAATGTATGTGTGTTTCATTGCTGAATAGACCTAAGAAGCGTGGTTCAAAATTCATATTTATAAACATCGATCAAAAAATTTAAAATTTACATAATGATTAGAAAGAAACTAGTTTTATTATCAAGCCAATCATTTAATTATTTTTTTGTAAGCATTAACCTAAGATATTGTATAATTGAAGGATTGACAGGGCTCTCACACCACTTTTTGGGACTGGGGCCGGGGCCGTAAAAATTGGGAAAATTATCGACCTTTTGGGGAATTTTGGGAAAATCATAATTATAGACATTATACGCTATATTCATGATATATTGAGTTTCTGGTGGTTGTTATCAACTAAATTTCTGTTTTGTAATATAGAGAAATATGAATTACAAGTTTAGTAACAACATATCTTACTAAATGTTCTTTAATATTAGAGGAAGTGACAGATTGGGAAAATTAACACATTCAATTGGGAAAAAATGTACCCTTTTTGAATTGGGAACCGGGCCTTTGAATGGCCCCAAATATAAGAGAATTGAGAGCCTGATTGAGGATATGTTTAACAATAAAATAAAAACCAGTAAAATGGGGAGGTAGTGGTGACGATATATCGTGAATATATCATGAATGTGTATTATATAAAGTAATTGAATGTAATTGAAAAAGTAATTGAAATTACATGGTATTTTTTCAGTGTAATTAATTAAATTACAATTACAAGTAATTGAAAAAATGTTCAATTACAAATTACTTCCAATTACTTAAAAAAATGTAATTAATTACAGTCAATTACAATTACTTTTTTCAATTACCCCATCCCTGACATATACCATAAGTGCCCAAAAATAATTTATTTAGTATATTTATCATAATGATTTATGTCATAATTGCATTCTAAATACAGAAAAAATGAAGTAATTCAGAAATATATATAATCAATATATAAATATTTAATTTATATTATGCTATTTCTCCTCAGTCCACGGAATATTTTGACCATATTCTTGTTCATTCCTTTGCGTCATTGATTCCCCCGCCAGTTATTGCAAATGTTGCCTCACTTTCTGGAAGGTCAGGGCTATAAAAGTTACCCAAAAAGATTAATATATAGAACAAAAATTACAATGATTTTCCCCCTATAAATATCGTATCTGAACCTAGTTCATTGTAATACCTATCATATATTTTAGCAATTCTGGTTTCTCCTCTCCCTTTGCGTAGACTGAGTCTCGTAGTAGAGGCGTGTGCAAGAATGTTTCCACCAATTGGTTTCTTAGGATCTGCTTGAAAACTAGTTAAATGAGAAAAAAAAGTATTGTTATGTAAAAGAAAATGTTACATATTCCATCCTCAAAACTGATAGAATATTTAGTTCAAAATTCTCACACAAGAAACCAAAGGGAAAGTTTCTAGTATGTCGGTTTTGAGTTGTAACACACCACATTATTGAATTTGTATCTTAGAAGAGTTTTGTAGCAATAATGGGGGAAAATAAAGTAATGAAATGTTCAGTGGGTATACATACGACATTGTTGCCCCAGGATCTGCTGTCATTTGGTTTGTTACAAAAACAGCAACGTTGTATTCTGAAAAATAATATTAAAATATTGTTTTAATAAATGTTTAAATAAATAAATTTTTCCGTGTTTGCTCTGCTCCAAATCTGTATTGTTTCAACGGACGTTTAAGCAAGATTACTTTTCATCTTCATATTTCATTTCATGTTAATCATGTGCATTAACTTTCCTCAAATCAATATGATCATTTGTACACCAAGATTGTTGAAAGCACATTAACTGCCCTTCCTAAACATTCTTCTCTGGGAGAGTCATCTTCTCTATGCGTAATATTTGTACATGTAATTGATCTTTATGTAGGAACCATTTGTTATTGTGGCATTACCCACGCCGTACTTTAGGTCCAGGATTTTTTAAAAATTCAATCTTACAATGATACGGTCCGTGGTTTTACATTTTTGGATCATGATGTGTAACTGAAAAATATGTAGTTCGAGTTTATTCAAAATTTACTTTCTCAAAAAATTGTCACTGCGTTTTATCGAGATAACTGTATTACAAAGCACCTTTCATGAATTGTCCGAAGACCTCGAAAACTAGCTACAGATCTGCAGCTCGGTTGTCAGAAAATCTGGAATGGATGATCTGTCAGACAAGTGAGCTGCAGATCTACAGCTAAGCTTGAAACCATTTCGACAAATAGATGAAACTTTATGGACAACAAAGTTTGTATTGCTTCGTCTGATTTAATTCTATTCATACCTACACCTGAAATTTACTGGTATTTGTCCTAATAATCAAGCATTGGTGTTAAAGCTGCATGAAGAGGTCGACAAACTGCGTTTTCATTAACTTGATTTCCATTTTATCACTAACTTTAAGGCATTTTTGTGCAATTTTCAGATTTGCCATAATTTTTGGTGCGAAGGAAAAATGCACTGATCCGTAAAGTATTATTCTCTATCGAAAAAGACGCCTTGATACGCACAAAATCACTATATACCAAATTTGACGCATGTAAGTGTCCCATTTGCACCCCATTCAAAATGATATCTGACCTATCCGACACCAATTTGGTTACAGAGGAAAAAGATAGTAAAAATTATTTCAAATGATTTACCTTCAGCTATTTTCTGAAGTCTGGACAACATCTGTGCAAGTTTTTGCTGCCGATCTGCTAACTCTCCACGACCGCTAAAATCGACGCGAAAGAGTGCCATAATGGAATCCACTATCTGTATTTGATGAGAAGGTAACTTAGACAAATTGTTAAACTATAAAAGCATAAAATGTTGGACAAATCTTATATTTACTTTTAGAAAAAAAAAATCAAGTGGAACTTACCAGAAGTTTAAAAACCCCAGATTCCTCATAAAATTTTGCAGCCACAAAGTCTAGTAATTCATATTGATGCTCGCCTTAAGAACAAGATTAGAAACTTTGCAATACATGTATTAGAAAATTGACTCAGTAAACATGTTTTTGGGTTGCTTTTTTTACTCCCTTTCATTTTTTTTTCTGATCACATTTACAAGATTTTGAAATAAATCATTTAAGTCTTCATAAAATTAAATATATTGACTGTAAATTGTAGAATTACTCACTTGTATATGCCCTGGCATACAAAACATTGTCTAATACGGCATTTTGGTCCAAATTAAAACGGTCAGCAATAGCTCTCAGTCGGTCAGGACGACTATTTAATGTTGATAAAGAGAGACACTGCATTCATTATATATTTGACCCACCCCCTTTTGAATAATAACTTGATATTGTGTTGTATTGGAGACATTTATTATTTTGGATATTTTGTCAAGTACATGTATGCTTACTACATGCAGTGATAATTTTGGCAAAGTTACATATAAATATCTCTCCCTCTACCTGAATTCTACCGCCTTTCAACATAAAAGTTATCGCTAAAGGATACAATGTGTTTTCTGTGTCAATGAAGACAACTTTGCCTCCTGTATAACCGTTATTGCCCGGTAATTGCGTAGTCACTGAAAGAAAAAAAAAAACCAAACATCATCACAACCATCAGCAACTCAGCATATCATAAGTGAAATAGTTGTATGAAAGAAAATATAGCACAAAAGAGGTACTGGCATCATTTTTTGAAGGCTGGTGGCCGGAATAATTGACAACTTACCTGACAAAAATCTTTGAAAAACAAACAAACGAAAACAAGAAGTCTGCGAGCCAATGCTCACTAATAATACCCCCGCTCTGATGTGAATACACAAGTTCAGTTATGGACAAACACAGTGATAATCAGGAAATTGACACTGGATTAGTAAAAAAAATGAATCCCAACATATGGCATGCCTAAACAAACATTGTGTTAAGATTTCAAGCACCTGCAATGAGTAGTTGCTGAGAAAACTGCGACCAAAATTTGTTATGTATGGTACAGACAGATGCAGGGATAAACAGGAAGTTGACATTGGATTTGTACCAAAATGAATCCCATTATATGGCATGCCTTAACAAGATTGTGCTAAAATTTCAAGCATCTGCGATGAGTAGTTGCCGAGAAAACTACGACAAAAATTTGTTATGTATGGTACGGACAGACGCACGGATAAACAGGAAGTTTACATCAGATTCGTACAAAAATGAATCCCACCATATGGCATGCCTAAACAAAGAGTGTGTTAAAATTTCAAGCATCTGCAATGAGTAGTTGCTGAGAAAACTGTGACCAAAGTTTGTTATGTATGGTACGGACAGACACACGGATAAACAGGAAGTTGACATCAGATTAGTACAAAGATGAATCCCACCATATGGCATGCATCAACAAAGATTGTGCTTAAATTTCAAGCATCTGCGATGAGTAGTTGCTGAGAAAACTACGACCAAAATTTGTTATGTATGGTACGGACAGACGCACGGATAAACAGGAAGTTGACATCGAATTCGTACAAAAATGAATCCCACCATATGGCATGCCTAAACAAAGAGTGTGTTAAAATTTCAAGCATCTGCAATGAGTAGTTGCTGAGAAAACTGTGACCAAAGTTTGTTATGTATGGTACGGACAGACACACGGATAAACAGGAAGTTGACATCAGATTAGTACAAAGATGAATCCCACCATATGGCATGCATCAACAAAGATTGTGCTTAAATTTCAAGCATCTGCGATGAGTAGTTGCTGAGAAAACTACGACCAAAATTTGTTATGTATGGTACGGACAGACGCACGGATAAACAGGAAGTTGACATCGAATTCGTACAAAAACGAATCCCACCATATGGCATGCATCAACAAAGATTGTGCTAAAAATTCAAGCATCTGCGATGAGTAGTTGCTGAGAAAACTACGACCAAAATTTGTTATGTATGGTACGGACAGACGCACGGATAAACAGGAAGTTGACACTGAATTCGTACAAAGATAAATCCCACCATATGGCATGCCTAAACAAAGATTGTGCTAAGATTTCAAGCTTCTGCAATGAGTAGTTGCTGAGAAAACTGCGACCAAAACTTGTTACGGAGAGACAGACAGACAGACACACAGACGGACAGACAGACACACAAGGGTAAAACAGTATACCCCCCTCTCCTTCGGAGCGGGGGTATAATAAAAGGGAGAAAGAAAGAAAAAAGAATTGTCAAAAACTCTAAATATTCAAGACAAACTTTGAATACATTAACATGTAAGGATTTGACTATACTGCAACAAAATGTGGAAAGGGGGTACAACCAGCCTTTCAATGAACATTTTTATACTTAGCTGCAGAACTGTAGCGTTATGGTTTTATATTTTAGTCTCTGACCTTAACTTTTATACCAAATTAACAGTAAAAGATTGTTATGGCAGAAAGTGTTTGGGGGGGGGGGGGATACTACGTGCTTACATACCACATAAAGTGTGTGACAACTGAGTTTTTCCCGTTCTGAATTCACCAAATGCTTCTGTTATCGCCATACTTTCTATACCACCGCCAAGTAATTTGCTAAATAGAAATTCAAAAAAAATCTAAGTAGTTATGTAATAGAAAATGATTATAAACACCTTTAAAACTGCTACCAGCAGTTTCCTACAAAGGTATACAGTTAATGTTACTATGAGTTCATCCTGCTAAAATATCTAGACCAGAAAATACTGAATCTAATCAATGATACTCAAAAAATTTAAAGTTGTTCGTTGACAAAGAGGGTATGGAAATAGTTGTATTCACATGAAAAGATGTAAAGATAGCAGAAATGCTACCAGGTATCTTTAAGCCATAAGTACGATACATATGCAGGCACATAGTATGGGAGGGGGAGCATGGGTGCCCTTTTTTTCCAAACATAAGTTAACTTTAAATGTTGAAAATTTATGTTTATTGTAAGGCCGGTCGTCCCTCCCCCCACTTCTTGTTGTGGTATAGTTATGTGTATTGATAAATGTTGGTAGTGAAAAACTTTTTATTGTTGAAAATGTTCATTGAAAGCCCCCCCCCCCCCCTTCCACCACACACACACACATACACACACACAACTAAAATGGAAGTTGGAATTTGTTAAATTTTCCTTCTTTAATCTTGATTGTCAAAGTTTTTTTTCAGTCAAATATTTTTTTGATATAGCTACCACCCCCTCCCTACTTTCAAAAACGATACTACGTGCCTGATATGAACATAAATATTCGCTGCATATTATTCTCTGTTTCACTCTACACAACGGGTCATAACGCCACTTTCATCCTACATAAATGGGTCCTGAACTCACCCTTTCTAACGATTAAGGGAAGGGAAAGGTGCAGCTGCACTTTTCTCTATTTTGTTCATTACTAATGATAGGATATTTGTTGTTTATATTAAAGGCTAAAAGCATATATATTTTTTATCACTCTTATACTTGACTTGAGAGAATCAGGTTATTTAATTATCAAAGTGAAAATTTTATACAAGAGATCACATACAGGATTGGATGATAAATAATTCAGAAATCGGAAGTATCCATGTCCCCATTGTTACTTACTCCAGTTCTTGACTTCCTGTGGTCAGACGAAAAACCTGCTTTCTTCTATCGGCATACTCAAGAGCGGTCAGAAAACCTGGATCCTGTACAATGAATTATACTCTTTTTTGTTGATATGCAATGGATGTATCTTTGTTTAAATAGAGAAAATGCTAAAAATTTGAATTTAAAAAAAAGTTGCGATCATAATTTCTCGGCTGTTACTTACAGCAAGCTTATTGCATGCCTCCTTGATCTTTTCCATTTTGGCCTCCGAAATTCCTTTAATTGTGCACAATTTTTTCTTTGTTGTCATTTGAACACCCTTAATTCATAGAAACAAACAGTAATTTTTATTGATGTATATTTTTCAGTTTGTATAACAATACACAAGTACTGTTTAAACTACACGTGTGCACAGTTCATCATATTGTAGTCTCACCTTGATTGTACATATTCCAGACTGTTTTAACTTTTTTATGTCGGCAACATTCTACAAATACATGTAGATAAAAACACTAGATACTAAAAAATTTTAGGGGTATTTAAGAAAACATGTCCAAAAAATTTACCCATTATTGGCTTAAAATTTGTTCGCTTTTAACATAGAATGGATCACGTATCAATACTTTATCCTATCATTCTTTCTTAAATAAGACCTACAAATTTACAAATTGATGACAAATGAAATACTGATTAAGATTTTTCATATACTCACTATACCATGGTTCTGGAGCAGATCTATGTCTTGATATAGAGATTCCTAAATTTAGATAAAAATACTAGTATAAGAAGAAAAAAAAAGAGTCAACACAGTAGATATTTTCATTTTGAATTTTTTCCTTTTTACATTGGCATGAAATAAGAATTATTTTTAGAAACCGGTCTTACTTCTTCATCGTCACTGACCACTTCTCCAGCTACAACTTGGTCCTCTGCTTCCATAATGCGTTTTCAGTCTCACCTGAGTATGAACAGCAAGTCACCATTAAGAGTTAAAATCAAATTTCATATATTTAATTGCATGAATAATTTAGACCTTACCTCGTTCGATTTTCTGACGGCTTTTTTCCACGTATTTTGTATGTTTAAGATCAAACATTCAAATGAAATATCAAATATTTTAACTCATTTAGGCCTCTATATGTTCAATGTTTGTTTATGTTCAATGCTTGACACCCCCCCCCCCCCACCCCGTCCAAACCTCCCTAACTAAAAATGTGAGCCTATTCAATAATAAATACTGTATTTCTTTGTGTTTCTTTCTTTTAACTGTGAACCATAAATTCAAACTGGAAAAGGAATAAGTGATCGTGATGGGACATACCTCAGTAAAGAAATCGTCTGCTCAAAGGATTATCTTCTCTTTGTTTGAATGCATTATAATTTTAAGAGTTATCTTTTCCTGAACAGTGCGCGATTTTTACGGTCACTTAAACGTTTGTCCCAGCACACAAAGCCATCCTACTTTAAAGACTTGAACCGACATCAATAAACAAACAGCGTTTTAACCACGAGGTCCTCGGTGAAGCGAAATTCGCAGAGAGGACGGCGTTTTTATTCTTTTTTGTAAAATTTTGCTACTGATAAATTGCAAAAATGGTAAGTTTTCCTGTGTCTATAGTCTGACCCGAGGCAGAGATTATTTACTTGTATAGTTGTCTGTTGTAGCAGGGACCTATATAGTTCCCGGGTTGTAGTCGTACATAATTACTTTTAAGTTCTATGCCTATGGCATAGCTCAGGAAAGTAAGTTTTCTGTGATAAGCAAAACTTTTTATTAATTATTAAGTTTTTCAGTTTAGCTTATAATTACATTTTATTTTTAATGTATAATACTGATTATAGTCTGGCATTCATTTACCAACAGACTGATGAAGTAAACCCCAAGGCATATCCTTTGGCTGATGCACAGCTGACACAGGAAATTCTGGATTTGGTTCAACAAGCTTCACACTATAAGCAGCTAAAAAAAGGAGCCAATGAGGGTTTGTAATCTAATTAGTAAAACATGGACAAATTCATCCCTGGTAAAATGTATCATAAAAATGGATTCCACTTCAATCATCAACTGGATAATTTTGTATGTTTGTTTTTGTACAGCATGACTCTTTTTGTGAACATATTTGTTTAATTAAAAAAAGAATATATGTGTTTGGTTTTATGGTTGGACTAAGAAACTATTTTAATATGTATACTGTATGTAGGGTTATTTTTGCACCATGTTATTTTTCGCACTTGCTAACAATTTTGCCCCGTTTTAAATTGCCCAGTCACAGTCCTATTAAAGAAATTAAACTGTGTTCTTTGAATACACCCTGTTTTAAATTCGCTCACCTGTGATTAGGACGAAAGGAGCGAAAATAAAACAGGGGGGGGGGGGATTTTTCCTGTATACAGTATGTCAGATCAACTAAAGGATACCCTGTATCTTTATCTTTCCCCATCAAAGGATTTTGTTAATTTTACATATACAGTCAAACTTCATTATTTTTTAGTACCCTTTAACAGGTCTAGGCGGCTTCTGTTTTTGGAGGATAGATTTTATCCTCTGAAAACAGAGGATAGTGGTCTTGCCACCTACCAGAATTTTCAAAACTAAGGGCAGTTAACTCTTAACCAAACAAATAACAGCAACTCTTGCATTTATGAACCATACGCTGATTTCAAAATCAAAACAAATAAAAGGTGTAATTTCATATGATGATGGATAATTCCAGATATTAAATCAATATAACTATATTTTTGTAATTGCCGTCAATCAGTTATTTGGTATACCTGCTTGTGACTGAGGTTAATTATAACCACGCTGATTTTCCAGTACCGTAATTATGTGATAAGCAGTTCAGAAATTTTGATAAACAATTTTTTTTGAAAAATTAAGTTTAATCATTTATTAATTGTTATTTCTTTCATTTAATAATTCTTTAGCACATCACTTTGTAATATTTTATTTGTTTATGTATACACATGGCTGTTTGAATATATGTTAATTTCTTAGTAAACATGTCAAATTATTTATTTTATTTACTTATGCTATTCAAATTATTTATTTATTTTTATAATTATTCATTCAATCCATTTATACTTTTAATTACTTAAATTATAAGGCAGAGTATATTTTGCATTTTAAATACGCTTAAAATGTGTTTCATTTTGTTTCCCTTTTTTGAATTAAAAGAAAATATAAAAGAAATACTAAAGTCCTTTGCACTTTTTGAGTAAAGGTAGGCATGAGGTGTTTGAAAATTACCTGTGTTATCCTCTGAAATCGGAGGATAAACTATCCCACAATGCAACGCGGTTTCCATATATGGTAAAAATTTTGGCCGCCATATTAAATTTAGCTATCCTCCAAAAACGGAGGCCGCCCAGACCTGTTTAATCTCCAATGTTCGTTGTGATCATCAATCACAATTTGGACATGATTCTGAACTCTTTTGTATGTTCTTTACTTCCAGCAACAAAAACACTGAACAGGGGGATATCTGAATTTATTGTTATGGCGGCTGATGCAGAGCCACTTGAGATATTGTTACATTTACCTCTGTTGTGCGAGGACAAGGTAAGTCATCTTTCATACTGTGAACTGGGATAAGTTAAGAACCATACACTGATTTTTTAAAGATTTTTTTTTTACCTTTTGTAAATATAAAACAATTAAATTGATTTCAGTTATGAATATTTTTGCATCTCCTTGTTGAACAACTATAAAGCAAAAAGTAATGCTGAAAATAAAAAAAAAAACTTTCAGATACATTGTACCCATTTTGCTAACTTCATTGAAAAAAAAAAATTGTAAACAAATAAATGAAAGATCTTTGAAATTCTCATAACTCACTACACAAAGGATCTAATAACATCACATCAGGGACCACACTGAACTTTTGTTTCAAAAGTAGCAGCAAGTCAAATCTTTTTAAAACTAGCCAGTCATACTTCAGCTCTTAATTCTTCTTCTAGTGATGGGAATTGGTAAGAATTTCATAATTGATGATCGACTACTGTAACTAACTAATTATCAATTATAATTGGACATTTACAAAGTCTATCAATTAAGTTTAATTAAATGTTAAGAATGGGTGAATAACTACTTTCTGTGGTGGTCCAGCTGTAGTTAGAATAATCTAACTGTGTCTCAGGACAAGCCCTAGTCCTTGGGACAATATCATTTTAAGATAGAAGGTTCTACCTAGTCCAGCTGGTTCTTCTTTCATTTTGTAGAATCCAAAGTATGTCCATACCCGGAAATGAGCGTTGTAACCCGGGTATGAATACAATGTCTGTTCGTCTGCGCCATTACGATACACAAATAAGTTAATAGACAAGTCACGGCTGGAATATTCAGCTTAAAAACTATTACGCTTGTAAATTAAAATAAATAACCCGATTAATTGGAATAAAAATTTTGTTATTGAGCGCTTGGATTATGCCAGCCATCGACTGATTTTCGATTATAATCGATGATTGGAACACCACTATCTTCTTCTGATGTTGTTAAAATGTTCAAGCTTTGCCTACAAGCTTCAGAAGAATGAGCATTAGGAGGGGAGTAAAGAGGAAGGGAAGCAAGGGAGAGAAATAAAACAGGGGACAAGCACTTTAATGTAATTCTTTAAATAAGATATAAATATTAATTTACAAGTATTTGTATTTTCTATTTTGTAGAATGTTCCTTATGTGTTTGTGAGATCAAAACAAGGTAAAGAATCCAAGATCATTATATACATGTATCCATATAAAAACATTAAACTGAATTAGCAAAGTTGTTTGCCATGATGAGATTTGTTTTGTATTAAATTGAAATTGGACAAACACCTATTACTAAAGAATTGGTAGATTATCTGCATGTTTTGTTGTCAAATTAATAGGAAAGTGTCTTCATGCAGTGTAGAAACTTAAATTTGCTCACTTCATTACCCTTTAAGGATAAAGGGGCTCTGTTAGGGCTTTTGAATAGTAAAATGAGTTGGAAATGAGAAAAAAAGATAATGTGACTTGGAAAAATTTACCTTAAACAGATGGCCATGTAAGACCATCTGCTTCCTAAAAGTAGGCACCATTTGATATTTCTCATACTGTGTAATTTATATAGCGGTAAAGACAACCATCATATCATATATGATATTTTCCCTTTGTAGCCTTGGGAAGAGCCTGTGGTGTGTCCAGGGCAGTCATTGCTTGTTCTGTCACAGTCAACGAAGGATCTCAACTCCGACCTAAGATCCAGACTATTCAGCAGAACATTGAAAAACTCCTCATCTAATTCATCTACAGGACAAGGCCGTTGACATTGAAATATGCATGCAATGCCATGCATCTTTGGAAGTCCTGGTCAGCTAATGAATTTATCTACCAAAATATTCTTCTCTAGTTGTAAGAGTATGTTAGAATTAACAGACATAGAATTAACAAAATCATTTATCAATTTTTGTGTTCATTTTGTTGTCAAATCATGGGAAACAATTTTATGAAGTTTTATTTACCATTTTAATAAAAAAGATATTACATAATACTTGCTTAATTATTTTATGTCCAGGCTAGTGTCTGATTACAAGCACAAGTCAAATAAGTTGTTAGAAGAAACATACTTTTGAAAGTAAAATTTCTGTATAAAGTAACGAAAAAATTACCTTGGACTACCACCCCCCCCCCCCCACCCCTACGGAAACACGGACCCATGTAAAATGGTAAGGAAAGTCATGTAAGTGAACAGTCTGGTGAAAACATTTTATCAGACTGTTTAGGTTTGCTTTCATTTCGTGCATTTTGAAATCTTGCAATACCTGCATCGAAATGCGGAGTGATATTTTCTTTAAGCGATATTATTGAGTTCTAAAAACATTATGCTATTGGTAAGTTGTGAGTTCGGCATTTAATTCGGTTTGCAAGTATCAAAAATCAACTCAGGTTGGAGACGGTTTGAAACTAGATCGTGCAAGCATTTTGTTGTTCTGTTTTCTCCTCGCAAGGATGTTGTTCCTAACCAATATTTTTGCGCTGCTAATCTCTGATTCACCTTTATTAATTTTGATTTCATATTTGTGGCTATAATCTAGGTGTTAAACAAATATAATACTAGTTCCTGTGAAGAATTTACTAGTATGTATAGTGCTGTTTGTTTCAAATAACATTAATTTTATGTTTAATTATCAAATGACACCTTATCTCCATGTTAATTAAATTAAATCAGAAATATGCATCAAATTCCATCTAACTATATGTCGGCCATGTAAAGCTTAGATTAACCAGAAAACCAAGTAATGACTGGAGCTCCAGGACCAAACTATCATTACATTGTTATTAACGTGCAACAACACTAGATTTTGTTATGCATCATAACCGAACGCATTAAGAACTTCTGGGTGATTTTGAATATTTAATCCTCATGTCAGATTAACTATGATACGAAAGCCTATTAGGATTAATCTGTGGGAAAAAATAAGGCGTTTTATAACGTGAAAAGGTGTACTAACGCGAAAAAGGCATAATAACTCGATATGAAAAGATTGTTTATGGCAGATTAGAACTCGTAGCTTATTGTCTTTATGCATACAGTTTCTATGTCCATGTTTAAGTATTTACGTTTGCTGTATTTTTCTAGTAAGCCAAATGTGAAACTGATTTGAATGCCATTTTCGTGTATACTCACGCCACAGGCACCTGACGTTACTTATTTTTCTTTTAATATATATATATATATATATATATATATATATATATATATATATATATATATATATATATATATATATATATATATATATATATATATATATATATATATACCCTACCTAATAATTCACAAGGTACACATCGCCGTCATCTTGATTTTTTCTAGGTCGGTCACATCAACTTGTATTTTCGTCTCAAACTCCGTGAAATAAATTCCCTGTAACCGTATTCTTTCTGTGGTCAGTCTTTCGAGGTCTCAACTTACGGACAGTGCAACCAAAAGGGCGCAACACACTTGCAAATAGTAAAAATATCCTGTCAAACTCGATCCACTGCTTCAACAATCCGAGCAATCGCTAAAGGGGTGTAACAGGCGGGGAAAAATGTCGGCCAGACTGGGACTCGAACCCGGGACCACCCGCTAACAGTGCGGGTGCTCTAACCACTGAGCTATACCGGGCCGACGTACCCAGTTCCCGTTACAGGGGGGTCGGATGTTTACATCAATATGCTGACAAGTCTGTGTGATTTACACACCAATAACTCACACAAACCTAAAAACATTCTTAAATAAGATCTTCAAAAGTACATGTATATGAACTTTCTATCTATAACCAATACTGTCCTTTTCTTGGGTATGTACCAAGAGCACATGGCTTTCATTTTTATAAGGGAGATAAGCACCCATTTAAATCAGGCAAACAATTTGCTTGCTAGATTGACATGACTAAATAAAATTTTTCAAAGATGTATTTTGCTATTTTCAATACCTGACTAAATATGACTTAGCCCCATGTCGGGGACTGAACCCTTTACCCGTGGGTCATGAATTTCACAATATGGTATAGGGCTAATTGCTCATAAAATAATTTTATAGCTGGATATCCAGGAATAAAGAGTACATATTTTCAATGTTTATCCAACTTAGTCCCTCGATCTCTGATGCAAGATACATGGACCAAGGGTCATGAATTCACAAATTTAATAGAAAGTTACTACGTGCTTGTTATACTCTTACAAATAGTTTGCCTGTTTTCGGAATTTTACGAGTGTCAATCTCTCTTAATTAATTCTCATGCAAACAGATGTCTGCTGGATGTGCAGGAGTATAAAAAGCTATTTTGAAATATTGCATGAATTAGGATGACTTCGACCCCATCCTTCGTATAAACTTCATCGTATAATAACAGCTTTGCGTTGTTAAGCCTTTCCATTATTTTTTTTTAGTTATTATTATTATTATTTATTTTATTTTTTTTATTTTTTTTGCTATATTACGCCTTTTTCAAAAGGTGTAGTTAAGCCTTTTCGAAAGGCATGAAAATGCCTTTTCACTGCGCCTTTTTCAGAAGGCGTAATAACGTCTTTTCACTTTGCGTTACTACACCTTTTTTCGCGTTATTACACCTTTTTGGCGTTAAAATACACCCTCTTTCGCGTTATTACACTTTACATTTCATTTTGCGTCGTATATATATATGTAACTCTCTTTAATTTTTTTCCCCCAAATTGATCCTAATAGGCTTTCGTACTATGAAAAGATGAGTGATATCCTAGATGTGCAAAAAGAGTAAAGCCTATGCCTAAGGCAGTATAAGAAAATCAATAAACTGGAAATTTATTTAATGTATTAATTATGCTTATATTCAAACCAGAAATACGTGCAATTAATGATTCTTTACAGTGTATTTTAATATTCTAGTATTGCATTGCAGGCTGTTTGCGTTGCAGTACACAATATTCATGTTGGAAGCGGAAATGAATTCAAACAAGAAAATGCAAAAGAGCAATTTGTGGTTGATAAAGATCAATACACAATGGTTTTTATCGATACGAGTTGTCTCCTTTTATTAGCTACCCGGTTTGTTTGTATGTTTCGTCCGAGTAAGCGCGTGTAAAGCACTGCGTTAGCAACAAGTCAACACGCCTTGAACCTTGTTTAGAAGATCTATGGCTACGATCAGGCGAGAAAAGTGCTATGCGTGATCACAGTACAGCGGTTAAATAAAGGTAGGAGCTTAAAAATACAAACTTAGAGGGGAGTAAAATTTATTATTCATCGGAATTAATTTTTGAACACTTACAGGGAAGTTGCAGGGTATTCTTCATAATTCTGAAGAGGAGTTAAAGGGTTTGATAATTTTATATCGTGCAGTTAATATTTCTATCGTGTGCATTTACAATACACATTTATGATTCAATTTATCTATAAAAAACATTCAGGTTGATCTTATGTACTCTGTTGCTCTTAAATTGAATATTTTTTTTGTTATATGATGCATAAATCTGAAAGAATTAGCCCTGTAGCTTTAAAATTACTGTAAGATTATGTATATATATCTGAACTCTGTTGAACTGAGCAATATCTTGGACATTGTTTTTAGATATTCTATTCAGAGCTAGGTAATTAAAACATTGAAATCAATATTTTAGCACTCCAAACTCAATGGATTCTTTTCTAAAGCGAGTCTTGTAAGAATTCAGAGAGGTTATTATTCAACGTAAGCTCATTTCCATTGATGCCTAAGCCTAATTATATTTTGATTATTTCATGACCAGATTGTCATTTTTGCTCAGACTGCTGGATTTATTGACGATATTACGATAAATTATTCAACATAAGAAAACCTGCTGTATACAACAGAATGATCTACACATCATTTAAGCTAATGCTTGGATAAAAGTGTATTGCTATTGCTTAAAAGGGGATATTTGGACGTGTACTGTTTGCTTATGATTAAATGGAAATAAGAGTGTAAAGATCTTTGTACTGGTATTATAAATTATTAAGTTTCATTGGGTACGAATCACTGTTCATTAATTTCTTATGTAAAAGGCTCAGCCTTTTTCGATGTTTCATTAACAATATTTTATTACCTAATATTGCAAGCATCTTTATATAGAATGTTGTCTCAGTTTCAGTTACTACTCAAATCAGTCCCGTAGATATCAAAAGAGAGAGAGTAGATCGGTCAATGGTTATAGAAAATCCATACTTATTGAACGGGCATTCAAAGACTTAGTATACAAAAGATTTCTACAGTGTGAAAGGAGCCTTGTTGCAAAATACCTATTTTATTATGAATGCATTTAAAATACAACATGGGTGACGTGAACGCTTTTAAAACTGCTGTGTATTGGTGACGTAAAATCGTCGATTATTGCTTCGCTCCATGACACCGCTGAAAATAAATCGAATATAGGTCAAACTCCTATTTAAAAATCTAACGGCGAGGGAGGAATGTTAAGATTTTATTTCAAAATCTTAGTTTATTTAGTTTGTCATAATATACAAGCCCAGACAATGAATTATGCACTAACCGCGAGACCTTTTTAAATCCTACCGGCCGGTAATTTAAAGGCTAATAACATGTAAAGTAAATTAATCTAAGTTTCTTGTATTAACGTTTCAAGTTATAAATTACTTATCTGCATACTAATTTCCCAGTGTTGCAGCGAAGCAAAGAAAAAGAAAAAATAATCATGAATATTGGCTTGAATACGTACATGTATTTGAAAAAAGTCAGATAAAACAATTTTGGTATTTTAAACAAATGACAGAAGTGGATTTCAGTGTATCTCCAAGGAGATGCACGAACAAGGCGTGCAGAATGCCTGTAGCTTCAGAGATATAAAAATCATATTCGGTTTGTGAATTTAGTATTTAGAGTAAAGTTCTCATTATTGTTTATGAAATTATGACAAACAAAACTTTTCTGAGGAAAATTTTCTTGGCAAAAATTATTATTATCGGAAAGATACAAATGTTGTGTCATAAAGATGTATTTTTAAGGTATTGTGGGTCTTTACTCCATAGTTTTGTTAACCAAAAAATGATTATTTTTGGGCAAACTTTGAGGATGAACTTTCAAAAAATGGAGCGAAGTCCCACTCATAGAATAAATGTTGTTATAATATGAGAAAATAATCCTTTTCGCCGTCTTTGGTATGTGTATGCTACATGTATTCCATAGGCAAATGATTTCAATTTTTGAAAATTGTAGAGATTTTACATAAAGTATACTTTAATGTTAGATGAAATATCACAGAATCTTTTATGATTGAGATTTAATTTTTCACCTTCATATTTGTCGCGCCATAGGCCTTTCGCTCGCCTCGTTCGCACAACTTCTTTGATTTATAATAAATTGAGAGATGATTAAGCAAACGCACTCTTTGGTTTGTCATATTAGAAAATATTAATAATTAATATAAAAAAAAATATGCATGAAATAAAGATTGCTTATTTTTTTTACATTGGAAAACATCAAAATGAGATCATTTTAGCTAAGCTCATGCCATTACATATTTGATCTGCACTCGAATAAAATCTGTAGATCATTGATAAACTTAAGAGCTGCAAAAGAATTGTAAATTAAAGGACTAAAGGTACCTTTACAACTTCATCTTTGTCCTTGCAATTCTATTTTTAGTCGCTTGCTAAGTGAAATGTTACACCTTTTCAACTAAATCATTTTATACAAAATAATAATACTAATACACATGTAATACTAGTACTAGTATAGGGAAAAATAATCAATCAATACATTAAAGAAAAGGATAATAGATAAAGAAAAATAATAATACAAGTAAATATCATTCAATAAATAAAAAGAATAAAAAATAAAAACAACAAGCATTCTGAGAGTATTGCATTAGCAATACTAGTCCCCTACCGGCAAGTGTAATCTGGTTCCCGTTAAAAATTAAAAATGTCATAAATCCATCAAAAATCAGTGAAGCGGAACGAAATGCAAACTTGATCTATTACTCATCAAGACACAGTCACATACCAAAATTCACCTCAATATCTGCAAGCGTTTAGAGAAAAATTGCGGAAAACCCTGAAAATTGAAAAGGTCGTAATTCCGTCAAAAAATCATTGAAGCGGAACGAAATGCAAATTTGATCTGTATCTCATCAAGACACACTCATATACCAAAAATCAGCTCAATATCTGCACGCGTTTGTAAAAAAAAGTGCGGAAAACCAAGTGGGACAGACTGACAGACAAACAGAGGGACAGACAGACAGATGGACAGACAGAGGGACAGACAGACAGATGGACAGACAGACAGACAGACGGACGGACAGACTCAGAGGAAACCTATAGTGCCCTCCGGTTTCACAATACATTCTCTACTAGTAAACATATGTGAATATTGAAGAGTTGAATTGAAGAGTTGATTAATCTAAAAGAATTTCACAAGAACGCTTAGCTTACATCAATTCATTGGCAAGAAGGAATGTTGATCTGACAATGATTTTGTTTCTATTATAGTTGGTGATTTTACACACAACAATTAGCAACAATGTCGAGTGGTTGCCCCACGTCCTACACATGCTCAGATGAAGGGCTACTTTTACCCATTGTGAGTGAGGCCACATGGCCCATTGGTGCCCGGGCCACTGTATACTTAGTGGGACTACTATGGAGCTTTATGGCGATTTCTATCATAGCAGACATTTTTATGGCAGCCATTGCAACGATTACAAGCTTTACACAGGAAGTGAAAGTTCCAGACGATAGTGAAACTGGTTACAAAACGGTAGAAGTGAAGCGATGGAATGGAACTGTTGCCAATCTTACTCTTATGGCCCTCGGCTCTAGCGCTCCGGAAATTCTACTTTCGATGATAGAAATTGTTTTTAATGATTTTAAAGCTGGAGAGTTAGGGCCAAGTACTGTCGTGGGGTCAGCAGCATTTAACCTCATGGTCATCTGTGGAGTGTGTGTCTTTGCGATCCCCGCAAATGAAACGAGGCGGATCAAAAAATTAAAGGTGTTTGCCATCACCGCTGTGTTCTCTGTGTTGGCGTACATCTGGCTCATAATAATTCTAATGGTGAATACCCCGGACTTTGTGGACCTGTGGGAGGCCATTGTTACGCTCTTTCTTTTCCCTATTTTAGTCATTCTGGCTTACATTCTAGACAAAGATTACTTTGGTTCTGCTACAGTAGACGACGAAGCAGGATTAGAAGTTGGTAAGTCCATACTTCTGTTTTCAAAAGGGAAAGCTTGCAGTATATTAAATAACTTATAAATCGTTTTAAAAAAGACGAGCAATTTGAACCCGGGTAGTTGTTTTGTGTTTTTTTGAGAAATATCTTTTATCAGAGACACACTTCTTGGAGATTTTAAAAAGATTTATCAATAATTTTTTACTCTAAATAGATACCATAGATATACAATATTCTGTTTGTCATGCTGTCATTTGGCCTGATAAAACCGTCACATACTTTAATGACACTAATATTGGGGTTAAACACTATAATTAGAAAACGCGATACGATATACATATTTCTTATCATCATCAACACCAAATCTTGAACTGATAAGCTGTAAAAATTACTGGAAAGGATTTATCCCAAGGGATAAAGAGTAAAGATAAAAAAGGCGCAAAAATCCAGAATTTATTGCTGTACTGATATCTTTTAAAGACTTGTATAAGAAATCTAAAGTACTGTGAGTTCTATTATTTTGTTTTTACTTACATTCCTAATATTATGACGTCATTGTGCATGTATTTACATATACATGTATATGTATTTGCCACATTTGATATTGTTGTGTATTTTATTTTGTCGGTAGTTGGATCAGGTAATTAAGTTTACAAAACTTCTGAACTACACATTTAGTTAATTATTATCCAGTTAACACTCTTTTACATATTCCAGTCACCAGGGCAGACAGAGGTTAAATATCCCTGTGTTCTAGTTTTCTGTCTCTTCTTTTTAACTCCACACCATTTACTGTGTCATCTCTGTGTTTCACTCTCGACCATTTATGTCTAAAATTCCAAAACTATTCTAATATTAAAGAAAATAGTGTAATGAAACTAAATAAACAGTGATTTTTTTTTTTACCTTGTATTTGGTTTACATCACCATATTAGTTCTTGACCTCTCCCCACCTTCATCTGCGAAATGGTTTCGATTCTGTAGTCAAGTAACCTTTTTTTGTTTTTTTGTTTTTTGTTTTGTTTTTTGCCTGTCAAAAGGTTTTTGATATGTAACATTTTATTCAATTATAGTAGCCCTCTTTTATCTTTTTATTGATGAAAAAATGTGCGATTCGATTTTAGCTGGAGAGATCGAAGCAATGTTTAAATGTATCACTGTTGTAAAAGATAAATTGCTTAAACTAATATGGCACAGTTTTAGATATTCATTCATGTTTTACGCTTGAAAAACATGATTACACTCGTACTGCAGTACATTAACAGACATATCTTTCAATAGAGACTTACCTTTGGTATGAAATTCTTCCAAAAATTTCAGTAAATGTGGCAAATTCAATTAGTGTTTTGGTAACTAGTTATAGTAGATTTCATACCAAGTTGTTGTGGTTGTTTAGTTCTAGTTTTAACTTTACATTATACAGAGTTGTAGATGAAACTTAAAATAAAAAAATAGTAAATTTGCTTTTTAAGATATTTGTTAAACAATTCTGATTCAAACTCTAAATTTTGATTAATCGAAACGGTTTTTTTTTTCAATTTAATTTTTGAAAACCTTTTCAATTTTCATATAAATGCGTTTTGTTTTACAGACAACCTTTTATCACAAGACCATGCTGATAAACAAGTTATTGTTGAAATGCTGCGGGTAAGTTTTCAAACCAATCAACTTCTAATATAGAAAAAAAAAATAAAGCACAGGTTATTGTATTTAAAGAATACATATATGGTCCAATATTAATGCTGATTAATTCTTAGCTGCAACAATGTAGCCCTCTCCGATTTTTTTCTCATGTTTTGGGGTAGCTACAATAATGTAGCACTCTCCCTATTTTCTTTAATCAGATATTTTTGGGAAAGTATCGGGGGAAGAGGGCTACTTTATTGCAGCTAAAATTCAAGTAATTGAATCAAATCTATCATATTTCACAGAGACTAAAATCCAACCCGGATGCGGACGAGAAAGAAATTGCTCGTCTGACGGCCCACTTAATGGAACAAAATCAGCCCCACAACAGAGCGTGGTACAGAATCAATGCCATTAGGACGATGACGGGGGGAGCGCCCTTAACTACGAAACTTACAGACAAATCCAGCGAGGTAAGATATATCAGAGAAAACTAAGCTGTTTTTCTTGCAAAAATTGATAAATGAACAATGAAATAAATTAATAACGAAATAGATTAAAAATAGTAGAAATTAAAAAGTTTTAAGAGAATTATTATTAAAAGTTAAATACTGCAGATGGAACAGTATCAATGTATGAAAATTTATTTTGAATTTTCTACTGTATAAATTAAACTTTCCATAAATTAGTTGTTGGAGACTTTGTTGATCGCGGAAGAGGCTGGAGGGGACCCAGACTTTGTCCATCTCAGCGAGGGAGGCAAGAAGGCTATTGTCGAGTTCGAATCCCCGAGCACCGCCGTCCTCGAGAAAGAAGGACGAGTAAGGCTCAACATTATTCGACATGGCAACCTCCACCGAAGAGTTATCTTCAGGTAGAGTTATCTTTGCCCCAGAGTGATATCATCTATGCTTGATTCCAGTATTTATGGATTTTAATAAAAATGTCACTAATTATTTTAGATAAAAAGCATAAAAACGTATACCACTTTACTGATAAAAATGTGCGCCGTTAAAAACAAAGCATGCGAATAGAAAGTTTAAATAAGCATAATGAGACCCCTGTTCTACTTGTTAAAGATTCATTCCGGTATTAGAGGTGTAATACGTTTCCGGTAAAAATGACGGCATTTACCGAGGTGTCTGACATCGGCAGTTTTCGGAACACTGTACTTCGTAAACAAAAATGGCGTGTCGTCAAGACGGCCTAGGACGCTAACATAAAACATACACCAAAGAAAAGGAATATAACTTAGCGGAGGAGAGAATAAATATGATATTACGTAGAAAACACGTTAATATATTTTGTTAGACAAAATATGCAGTCAAAACGATGATACCTTCAAATACACACTTCATGGGTTTTTCCAACCTCTAAAAATAGCACCATTTTCGAAGAACGAACGAAGTATACCTTTCTTCAAAACTTTACATTCGCATCGCGATTTCTTGTGATTCTCTCAGTATCAACAAATCGTTTGAGGGGGAAAATGTACGTAATAGGTAGCATTGCGTGCATTGTAGAATCTGCAATTTATAAGTGACGTTCAAATGTCCATACGTAATATATCTGAGATGTTCAAAATATATCAGTAAAAAATATATCAGTAAAAAATATATCAGTAAAAAATAGAATGTAAATATGTTTACAACATTAAAGAAAAAAAATTAATATTAGATATGAGAATAAATGATTTATACTGGGTTGGGTTAGGGTGATTTTTGTTATTTTATTTACATTCATTAATTTATTTTTTACATAAGTTTACCGTTTAGAAAGGGGGGGGGGGTTGAATATTTTTTATTGATATTTTTTATATACATGTTGGGAACAAATTAGTTTTTTTTACCTTTTGATTAGTGTTTCTGTCAGTATATATTTTAGTCTACATTGCATAGTAATGTTTAGATCTGTAAAGAACTTCATGCACATGGAACCTGCAAAAATGTAGGTCATTTTGCGAATCTTTGTCTGGGTCAAGGTCACTGTGACGAGGTCAATCTTCTGAACAAATGAATCTGACTAAAGTGAAGTGTATTCAATATGACAATAACCTATTGTTTATATATATGCTCACCATTTCATTAATTATCACATATCCCATGACATTTACAAAAAATAATGGCTTAAATTTTTAGGGGTACATCGCTATGATACAGAATATAGATAAATATTGTGGATGGAATAATTTTTTTTGGTTGTTATATTATAACAAACACACCTTACACAAAATTGATATTGTTCTTTTATTGATCTTTCCTACCATATTTTTCTTTGACAGAATATTACAAACGATTTTATGAAAAAAAATCGCCAAAATTGTCACTCAAAGTAGACAGGTTCTCTCGATTACAAGTATTCATATATCATACCTGATAAATTTGAACTAAAAAGAATGCATATAAGCAATCTGTACTGCTTAGTGTTGCAGCTGAATACATGAAACATTCAACTGTTTGCGACTAACTAGAGTAGAGGTAAAAATTTATTCGATTCGGAAGAACATGATCATTATTTCTCTTTCGAAGAATTTACAGCAAGTTTATATTTAAGACACACTTTCAGTGCAAAAAGGTCATATTAAATGTACTGTAGCGCCAAAAGAAGCGTATTGACCCCCATTTTTTGTTTTTGATTTTTAATTAAGCTATGTGTGTAGATACTAAAATTATAAAATTCTTAAGACTTTTGAAAGCAGGATCCACCCCCTTAAGCATTTCCAGCTAAAAAAAAAATGAAAACAAAGTACAAGTATTATGTAATAGAAACAAGTTATCCGGCAATATGTATCTCTAACTGCAATATTCATTCAGAATATTTATTAACCAAAGTTTTGGCTGAAAGTTAATAAATCCTTATTCCTCCAAAGTATATATAGTACTTGTGTATGTAATTAATTATGGCAGCACTAGTAATTTTTATCTAGTCTTAAAGTTTTATACCTCACACACATTCATTTTCATAACACTGAGACTTTCATTTTGAATTGTGTTGTTGATTTTCAGACTGGAAACGGTTGACGGGACAGCGGAAGCGACGTCAGACTACAAACCAGTCAAAAAGACAATGGTTTTTGAACCAAATGAGACCCTGTTGTACATCGATATCGAGATAATCGACGATAATGTTTGGGAACCAGATGAGGTGTTCTTTGTCCGTTTAACGATAGAACCGGAACAGGAAGCGGTGTTAGGAAAACATCCGGTCACACAAGTCACTATCCTCAACGATGATGGTGAGGAAAAAAATGGAAATAGTAACTTCTGACATAAACCTGTGGTCCAGTAAAAACTGAATGCCGGATAAAACATTTTATCTATGATAAATACATTGTGTGTACTTTTTATACGTTTTACATCCATATTGGTTAGATTCGAGGAAAAAGAGCACCGTGCACTTTGCAGATTTTCGTAAAAGACATACTGAATTACTAAAGGTTTGTTATTTATACTGGTATAGCTTTGTAATTGAATTCTTAATGATGTATGTGTCTTTTTTTCCCTAGTACCCGGTACCATACAGTTCGCCAATCCTAGTTTCTTGTTCAAAGAGAGCGTTGGGACAGCACAGATTAAAGTCGACCGATCAAATGGATGTGATGGAAGAATTGTCGCCAAATGGAAGACAAAAGATATCACCGCTGTGGGTGGGCGCGATTACGAAAACACATCCGGTGAAATTGTTTTTGAACACGGAGAATTGACGAAAATGATTGAGATCAACATAAAAGACGATTTGGTAAGCCAAGACTTTGACAGAGCTCAGTTGATTCTTGTTTTGAATGTTTGATAATAATAATTTTGTTTTGCTAAAATTGTAATTTAGGAATTTGAAAAAGATGAAAATTTCGAAGTAGATCTCGTTGAAGTCGACGGAGGTGCCAAAATCGGAAAACTGAAACGTTGTGTTGTTACCATTGTTAATGATGACGGTACGAAACAAATCTTTTTAAATTCCTGACTATTGTTTAACATTTATATGAAAACTTTGGTTACTGTCATATTCATTAAATTGTCCTATGTTTTTACAGAGTTTGCCGGATTCGTGGACAGGCTAGCAGATCTGACAAACGCCAATCTGGATTCCATGAGAGTTGGCAAACAGTCATGGGCAGATCAGATTCAAGAAGCCTTAAATGTAAATGGAGGAGATTTAGAAACTGCAACTGCATTCTCATACGTTCTTCATTTTATGACTTTTGGATTTAAGGCAAGTATATGAAGTTTATGAATCTAGAATCCCTCAACATTTTAAATTACGTTTTGTTTTAATCCAGCACATTATGTTAAAAAAATATTTCTTTTACAGAGTATTTTTGCACTTGTTCCGCCACCTACAATATGGGGCGGATGGCTCTGTTTCTTCGTCTCTCTTGGCTGTATTGGTCTCTTAACTGCAATAGTTGCCGATCTGGCGAACATTTTTGGCTGCCTTATCGGATTAGAGTCAGAAGTAACAGCTATAACATTTGTTGCTCTGGGAACCAGTTTACCCGATCTCTTTGCTAGTAAAACAGCGGCTACCATGGAGAAACATGCGGATTCTGCTATTGGTAATGTGACCGGAAGTAACTCGGTGAACGTATTTTTAGGTTTGGGATTGGCCTGGGTTGTTGCTTCAGCTTATTGGACTGCCAAGGTAAGCATTCCAACGTTATTCTTATCTTTGGTCTACTTAGAAAGTCTGTGGTGTAGTGCAACACTTTTGACGAACTCCTTTTTTTCTAGTTTTGAATATACATCATCGAACAGTAAAAAAAAATCTTGAGGTACATATCGCTAACAGTTTTAATTTAAGTTAGCATTGGTATCCTTTACAGAGAGATGTAAAAATGAATTGATGAGTAAAGTAGTTATCTTTCTGTTTAACCATATTTCAGGGCGTGTCGTTCGAGGTCCCAGCAGGCAGCCTCGGTTTCAGTGTTGTGGTGTTTGCCGTTCTGGCTGTGGTGACTCTAGTTCTAATTGTCATCAGGAGATACGTGGGAGTGTTTGGCAATGCCGAATTAGGAGGACCTAAAATTCCAAAAATTATTTCTGGGGGCACTATGATCTTTTTTTGGCTTATATATGTTCTTCTTGCATCATTACAAACTTATGAGTATATTGAAGGATTTTAGGATATTTTTGTATAAAATGGCGTCTGTTATACAGGTATATTATTGTATTTTTATTACTAGGCTGTACTTATTGAATACTCCAAATGTCTTATTTATAAGATGACCTTTATTACGTGAGGAAATGGTAAACATATTTGGTCGTCTTGGCATCCGAGAATATGTTTTTGGGAGGAAGGTTTTCGTTATGCGAGATGTGTAAATGTTTGAGTAGATTGATATATGCGATTTTTTTTAACTTCCGGAAACTACATGTAGATATTTGATATTATAGTGCTTAGTTCAACACGTGATAAACTTCTCTGTGATAGTGCCTTAAGTATTCGTACTTTTATAGAAATCATGACTTGTTAGAAGTGTTATTTGAAACTTAATTGCACATTCATCGTTCTTAGAATGCAACACGAACAAAATACTGAGATATTAATGTAATTTGTTGTATACAAGATTTCATTTTTAAAAAAATTGTATGATTAGTACTGTTGACAACTTACATGTACCTCCAACATTTCGTTTCGCGATTTAGAAAGAAAGCTTAAAACTATTTATTTTGATGCATGTAGTTCACTGAAAAATATTGAATGTTTCAAAACGATATTCCTGTATGTATTAGTGTATTTGTTATAAGTGCTGTTTACAACTTCAACATTTCTTTCGTGATTTGAAATAGAAGAGTCTGCACTTTAGAGTTTAAACTATAATTTTATTTCTCATTTTTTATTACAGACACGAAAGTTCTAGAGAAATTCTCGCTTTTTTGAAAAGAGAAATAAAGACTTCTGAAGTTTGAAGTTGATTTTTTTATACTGTTTTCCCGAAGGGGGGGGGGGTTATGAAGCTGCTTAACAGTTAAGAGTCCTGACCATCCAGAATGTATATATTAAGCACGTGCTGTTAAATTGTGGACATTTTTTAAATAAAATTGTTAGACATGGATATGTTTGACTGACTGCAGATTCAAGAATTCAATTAATCCGACGTTTTCCAGGCGTTTTTCACGATTTTGATATTTGATGTGCCAGGAAAATGTCAGAACCGGCACCATTATGAAGAGTGGAAATTTTGCCTTCCCAGCCTGAATATTTGCAAATCAAATGTCAAACTCACAATTTATCAATAACACAGACTAGATAATGATTATTCAAGAACTCGGACTAAAATTCAATGAAAGGAGTGGGTTATATAAATTATGATTAAAATAGAAAATCTAATCTTAAATATTTGTATCTGATTTATAAAAAAAATTAGTTAAATAGATATAATCCAGCTTTTAGAAATAAGTATGACTCTGTGTATTATTTGTTTTCTTGCCAATATTTACGTTAATGTAATTGGATTTAAAATTTCAGAATTTTTCAGAAATCCTAATATTCCGGTTTTTTTCTTTTTAAATGTGGAATATAAAGGGGAATAGGGATAACAGATTTGCTCCATTACTTGTAAGTCTTGGTTAGTATAAACCTATTTTGCTTTTCGCTGATATGTATCAACTGGCGTCATTGATTCGAGTCGTGTTCACTTCCTGTAAAGCACAAAATCAAAGAAAAGATACCTAGAGTATATATTATTCAGAGTTGTCTTTCTTTATTCTGTGGACAAATTTCAGAATGGTTGTTTTCAGGTAGGTGAAACCAGCGATGATTTTTTTAATCTTCTATTTGGTAGATAATTGTTAAATTTTCAGTTCTTAACAGTATACATCAACTTGGTCTTGTTAAGACGATCAATTCATCATTGGAACTTGAAAATATTTTTAAAGATGTGTTTGTTGGATATACTTAAAGTCAATATATTTCTTTCAAACATCTTGCATACTTTTGAACAGATTGACTTTGACTGCGATGTGCTCTACGGGGAGGGGGGGGGGGGGTGTCTATCAGCAGCAGGGCGAACCCTGTAAAGCATATTTTTTGGTTTTGTTTGTTTGCTTTTATTTTTGGAAATATGTGTTAGTTTCGTTTTTTTTTTTTTTAAATATAGTTTTCACAGAATAATGTATAATAATATATAAATGCACTATTCATGCGACGCTACAATGAAGCGCATTGAAATGGTAAAATTTTACGTTTGAATGGAATGTTTCGGTCTTCCCTATCGAACGTCAATTTTTACATAATGTCACACCCACACACTAAAATGGAGATTTTGTGAAGTTGGGGAAGAGAGTTAGAGACTTCCCGTTTTTGTAAAACACGTATTGTAACGGATATGTACATAATTATGAATTTATCGTTTAATGGAGTTGCCACAACACATGTTTCGGTCGAACACGTGTTTACTCGGAGTTTGTGTTGACTGTCAATTTGATTGGATATTGTATTTACAGAATACCTTTTTCACAGGTATTCGAATGAAGCATTTGACCGTTTTTTTACTTTCTAAAGAAAGCCCAAAACGTTCCATTCAAACTGAAAATTTTACCACTTCAATGCGCTTCATTGTACATTGTGTATTATAAAATCTTAAGTTTTTATCATTTCCATTTTCTTTGCATTGCCAGCCACATTAGTAAAACATATATCATTTTCCAAAAAGGAAGAGCAAGCAAATCCAGAATAATTGCACTAAAAAATATAATTTCCAGAAGTGTAGATCTAGTCAATGTAACATCAATTTTTTTTTTTTTTTTGTAATTCCTCAGCCAGACCCGTAGGAAGCAATTTCAGTTTTTTTTTTTTTTTGGGGGGGGGGGGGGCACAACCATATATTTTCAGTTGGGGGGACACTATCATCTTCCAAAAATTCCTTGAGAGGCCAAAAAAGTCATCAGACGTTATTATTGAGGGGCACAAGCATATAGTATCTATGCTTTCTATAGTATTCTATATATCGGCAAAATTATTTGGAGGGGGCACAGCCCCCCCCCCCCCCCAGTTCCTATGGCCATGTTGAGGAACACGAAGTTGTCGCTTATACTTGCGATACTCAGAAAAATAAGCATCACCACAAACTTAGGATGATCTTAGGATATAATTTATGTTGTCCTAAAGTTAGGGCGAACTTATGACGAGGTCCTAGATTTAGGAAAGCTTCGAGAATCTGACTTGAGACTAAGATATTTCCTAACACGTTCTTAGGACATATCACAGCCCTAAGATATCTTCGTGAACATGCCTGAAGATTTACATATATTTTAGTATTTGAAAAGTCAGTGTCATGACAAGTTGTGCTTTTTTGCACAAATAGATCTTATCATGCTGTGGCCTCCATTCCTTGTTCCTAAGTTTCCTTTATCAGCTTCAATTCGTGCATATTTTGACCTGAAACTTCGATGAAGCTCTTTCAGAAATCTTTAGTAGAAACAAAAAAAAAAAATAAACAATGATACTTCTACTTTTTGCTACTGCTAAAACATATGAATTTAACAATTTTGCTCCCTGATTCTTTATCAACAGTGGGTTGGAAAGTGATTTACTAAAAGAACTCATATACTGAGTTAAGTGTAAAGTAACATATGGGATTTTATTACATTTAATAAACAATGAACAGACTTTAATATTTAGATTTTGAAAAATTCACGTATAACCTAGTTTTTTTTCTTCCAGCTGCAGAATAAATAAATTTATAAATTCAGAGTTTGGGGTTAACGATGGCTAGTCATCTGTATCTACAGACATAATGTCATTTCAATCATGATAATGAACAAAATAAGACAATTTCTTTTGTGCTTTCCCATTTATTTCACATTTGCGAAATATATAATTGACCCTTAATTAAAAGTACCGAAGTACGAACGATTTTCCACAGGTTGTGTCCTTCAAACATTAGAGTCCTATTTTATCACGGATGTATGGTTTCAGGATCTGAAAAACGTTTCATGTAAAGGAACTTTTTCTGGTATTTTTGTAAATTCGATTCATCTTCACTTCGGCTTTTACAATTCTGACTGCACACGTTTAATAATGTATGGTAGATTTGCATTTTCGTTAGAGATAGGAAATATGTATACACTACGATGTGTAACGAGACGTGACTCTTCTGGTCTTCACTAAACGAGTCTTTGGAAAATACTTGTAGGTGCCCCTCCTTTTTTTTAAATAAAGAGTTACAACCTCTTCCGATTTTTACAGCACCCCTTCTCCTGTGTCTTATTTATAAAAGAAAATAATTTTCATAATTCCCTTTTGCTCAAAACATGCTTAAGAAACAAAATACTGCTTTCAGAATGGTTTACAATTATTGCCCCACTGCAGATACCCGGTAATCAAAATTTCCCCAAACCTTATTTTCGTTAAATAGCGATTTTGTATTAATGAGCAAGACGAAATTTTCACGAATTTCTTTTATTGCTGTATATAATCTTTAATTATAGAAATACTAAAAAAAAAAACAAAACAAAACAAAACAAAATCAAAAACAAAAAAAACAAAAAACAAAAAAAACCTGAAACTTTCGAGAGCAGACGTCTCGCATAATTACACAAAAATCAAGTTCAAGTTCAATTTATTCACCCAAACCAAGATATTGGTACATGGGGTACATTAATAATATATATACAACATTTTATACAAATTGCTCAGAGATACATGTACAATACAAAAAGATTACAGAAAATATAAAGATATAAAGAAGAAGAAAAAAGAAAGGAGGAAATTTATCAAGGAGGACAGACAGTATCATAAATTTTAAAAATAAACAAACATAGATTTTTTCATGATTTTTAAATTTATCGAATAGATCGAACTGGCAGACAAGTGGTAATTTAAATTGCCTAATTTTTAGCTCACCTCAGTGAAGTTGGGGGAGCTTATGTAATACCCTCGGCGTCCCAGGTTGAAGTTTTGGGAGCAGATTTCTTTTCAAATATTTCTATGCCCTATATCAATCAGAGGTGCATGGATGATGCTTCTAGCTTGTTTCATTGTACCAGTCAAGGTTTCAGATGCTGCAATTTCAGCTAAAGAATGACCAGGTTGATGTGTTTGGAACAGGGTAAAGTTTTTGGAGCAGATCTTGTTTCCAAGTAACTATAAGTCCTATGTTGACCAAACTTTCATGGATGATACACCTAAGGATGCACACTACTGGACTTGCTTCGGATGCTGGATCTGACCTAAATTTTGACTTACATTTTCTGGATGAGTGACTCGTTTAAAATTTTTAGATAAGTCCATTCCCAAGTAACTGCAAGACCAAAATTGCATAAATGTTGCATCTAGGGATGCACACTACTAGATTACATGTATAAGTTTAGAGTGAGACTTTGCCTTAGTTAAAGACAACATTCGTTGAGGTGAGCTCTGTAATCTCTGATTACCTATGTTTCTTATAATGTCGAACATGGCATAAAGTACATATAAAGTACTCATGAATAAAAAAGTGATTTACATTACATGTATATGATGTTGGATTTTTGTCAACGATCACTACAGATCAACCACAGGTACTTGTGGACAGG